AAACTTTGACCAAAATAATTTTTCATCTCTTACAGTGGCAAGAAATTGCAAAGCTGTCAATGCCAAAAAAAGCTGCCATCGCTTCTTTCATCTGAACAACATTTCGCGCGCATTTTCGGCTCTTAGCCAATGACATTACCCGATATCGATCACATGTCATTTTTCAGAGCATGCGTAGACATTTTTCGCCGGTGAAGAGCTTAGCAGCTAGCGGTCACTTCATCGTCCACCGTCTTAAAATGTTTGTAAAAATGAAAGTGTTGTCTCCTATAGAGTGTTTTCACTCACGCGGCCAGCATCTATACAAATTTATTGGAACAAAAGAAAGTGTTTGCATAAGAAAAGAGTTCAACTCCCAGAGGATTATTCAAAGTTTGATTTTCCCTGTTATTCAAAACGGTATTTGTGTTTTTAGGTACGGGTTTTTATTTGTCGAGAAGAGCAAGAAAAATATTGTGCGAAAACACCGAGTTTCCTTCAGCTAAGAAAAACTGAGTTTCGTGCTGGATAACCGCACTTTAAATTATAGTGTTCCTCAGGGGAGCTGTTTGGGACCTGTCCTTTTTCTATTGTATGCATCAAGGCTGTTTGAGGTTGTTAAGAAGCACCTTCCATCAGTTCATGGGTACGCTGATGATACTCAGTTGTACGTGTCGTTTCGCCCAAATTCGTTTGCTGCTCAAGATCAAGCGATTAAGGCTATTGAGAACTGCATAGCTGATGTTAGGGCTTGGTTAGTCTCACACAGGTTGATGTTTAATGATTCAAAGACAGAATTTCTAATCATCGGTTCGTCGCAGCAGTTATCTAAGGTTACCATTGCTTCAATTAAAGTTGGTGACTGTGACATTCAACCCCTTAAGCATGTTAGAAATCTTGGCACATGGTTTGATAACCATATGTGTATGAATATTCATTTAGGAAAGGTGTGTAGTAAGGCATTTAGGGGGCTTTATAATATTAGGCAAATTAGGAAATATCTGTCTGCAAAATCAACAAAGTGTTTAATTCATGCGTTTGTTACATCACATTTAGATTATTGCAACGCTCTTTTGTTTAAGCTTCCGCAATATCAATATGGCCGACTTCAAAAAGTTCTTAATGCGGCGGCTCGGGTTACATGCTTAATTCCTAAGTTTGCCCATGTTAATCCGGTACTTAGGAAACTTCATTGGTTGCCAGTGAAATTTCGAGTAGAATTTAAGATTGCGCTTTTAGTTTTTAAAACGTTGAACGGCCTGGCGCCACAATATTTATCTCAACCACTTGTTGTAAAGCCTAGAACTGGTCACAGCCTGGGGTCTGATTCTGAAACATTGCTTGTAATCCCTAAGGTGACACGGAAGACTTTTGGCGATCGAGCCTTTTTCCATGCTGGACCAACAGTATGGAATGCTTTGCCATCTAGCCTTAGAAACTGTAGGAACATTAACTCTTTTAAAGTACAGTTGAAGACTTATCTTTTTAAGAAAGCTTTTAATTTGTAATTTAATATTCTTATTACTATTATTATTTCTTTCCATTTATTGTATATATATATATATATATTTATTTTCTTGTACATATTGTAAAGCTCTTTAGAATATTTTAATAGTTAAAGCGCTATATTAAATGTAATAAATTATTATTATTATTATTACTGACGAAAATTTATGCACTAGTTGTAGTTTGGCCTGAAAGAAAACGTTTTAAGCCCAACGAGGCCTTCCTTGGAATAAGTTATTGATTCTGATCCTTTCAGGGGCTGGTCGTTTATTACCTGTGAAGGGGATGGGGGGGGGGGTGGGGAGGGCGCGTCCATTTGCAGAAAGCTTAGAAGATTAATGTATGATTTTGCTTCAGGCAGCTGTTTTTGTGGCAAGACAGCCCGACCATCCGAACTGTTGGAGGCAGCGTGTGATATCGTGCTTGATTCAAGTGATCGGAAGAAACGTTTCATATACATGCAGCACAGAATTTTGCACCTGGGTCAAAAAAAGAGAAAACTCTCCAGTTTATGAAGTATTCTCTCTATTACTTGGATGACGCTGAGAACGGCGGTCAATTTTGATTTTGCACCAAATGTAAGGGGGGTCGAAATATTAAGACACGGGGCTGGCCTTCTATGTGAAAGTTGCCAAGCTATGATTGAAGCAAATCCACGTTTCCTTCACAAGTAGAAAAAAAATTGCTTCGCGGTTCTTTGTCAACAACAAAATGTCACCCGTATAAAGCTTAGCCCAGAAACCTATCAGCTATTTCTACTACCAGGAATGTAGCGTGTATGTACGCAAAAATATAGAGAATTTTTGTTATTTCCATACACAAGTACAAAGACGTATGTGATATTGATAGCATTATAACATAGTTTGCCCGTCTGCTGAAGGGTACACATCTCGCCCTTTGCTTGTAACGTCCTTGATGGCGTCACTGTTTTACCCTTTTTTGCCGTAAACAGTCTGTACCTTACCGATAACAGTGGAGATAGAGGGTAAAATAAGCAACTAATTACTGAATTTTCCTTCCTCTGTATTTACTGAAAATGTCCTGCAGAAAACAC